TTATTATTGTTATTATTATTACTTTTATTATTATTGCTATTATTATTATTAGTATTATTAGTATTATTAGTATGATTATTAGTATTATTAGTATTGTTGTCATTATTATTAGCGCGATTATTATCGTTATTATTAGTAATTAATTTATGTTGATGTTGTTGTTGTTCTTCTTCTGCTTCTTGTTGTGGTTGTGGTGGTGGCTGTGGTTGTGGTTGTGGTTGTGGTTGTGGTTGTGGTTGTGGTTGTGGTTGTGGTTGTGATTGTGGTTGTGGTTGTGGTTGTGGTTGTGATTGTTGTTGGAGCCGCCACGGACCAGACGGCCGCGCAGTCAAGAGGCTTTCGCACGGGCTCTGGGCGCAACTCCTTTTGCTAGAGGTCTCAACCGGCCCCCAGGGCAACGTAAAGGATTGCGCCCCTTCTCGAGCAGTGTGCCTCCATGCTTACTGAACCGGTCTGGTCCGACAGGTATAAATTCCTGCACCCAGTCTCTGTCTAAGGCATTGCTTACTGGGCAGGCGGTAGGGTTTCCACCTCGTGCGCCGTGGAGGAAGTCACTTGGCGAAATCAGCGGACGGCAATGCTGCCAGTGCACTCACAAAATTATTTTCAGATTCGGAAGAAGTCTTTTAAGCATGCTTGCAAGACGGCTGTCACCAAGCAACAGCCGGGTCATATTGAGGTCAGGTCCTCACCCCTGCTATCCCCTGCTCAGGGTCGCGGCATGGGCAGTTGCCCCCCTCAGGCACCGAGCGCGCCGGCCACCCGCCTTCCAAGGTCTCGAGCAGGCCGTGCCAGACGAGCGGTCGCATTCTCTTGTGGAATCCTGTGCATCTCATGGTGAGAAATCAAGTCTTGGCTACAGACGGGAGCCTCGCAGACCTGCGATGTCGTGGTTTTACAAGAAACACACTGGAAGGAAACAGCGGAGTTCAGGCTGCAGGCTGGCACTGCGTGTCGTCAGCCTCTCCCGCAACGGAGGTTTCAACTGAGGCCAACAGGATGAGAAGAGGGGGCTCGACCCAACGTAAACTTCGTTCAGCGAGGGCTCGGCCCAAGAAGACCGCTGGTTCACCTGACACCTCGGGCCCATCTGCGACTAGAGCAGACGGTCTCATGGTACTGCTCGCTCCCTCCATCCAGCCTCACAGCATCAGGTGGAAGGAGCGTGCGAAAGGCAGAGTCTTGGAGATGCGGTTTGGTTGGCACGGCGCCCACAGTCATCGCTGTTTATCAGCATGTCTCCTGAGTCAAGACAGCACAGGCCAATCTAATCGATCGGACACAGCGGCAGTCATGCGCCACCTGTCTAGATGTGTCAAGCAAGTCCCGGTTAGAGACACCCTCTTGATCGCAGGCGATTTCAACTCCTCCGTCTCACGGCTCCCTAGACTGGTAGGCCCAAGCTTGTTAGAACCAACGGAGGCTCGGCCTGACGAATCGGAATTGACGAACTTTCGTCGCGCCCACCATGTGGTGGCACGGAACACTTGGCAGGCCTCCCCAGCCCACACCTTCGTGCAAGGCGACTCTAAAACCCAGATTGACTTTGTCATGACTGGAGGGAATCTATTTGGACAACCCCCAAGTAGCTCCGGGCCGTGAGTTCAATAAGCAATGGCTGGATGACATGTCGAGCTGTCTCCAGACTCAGCTCGGGAAACTGCAAGAGCTGAAGAACTTGAAACTTGGCAAGTACCGCATGCAGCTTCGATAGGTGTATACTACTGCTGCACATTCTTCGTGGCGACCGCGGTGCAAAGCTTCAGAGCTCCGAGCCATTGACCGCTTAATGGACTTGCTGCGCGACGATTGCAGCAACCGTCGGCGCAGGATGTGCAGACTGTCTTGCAAGATGGCAGCAGCAGCACCTCCGACACCGGAGCCTCGGATATCGAGGAGATGCTGCAGCCACCTCTCAAGGTCGCCAAAAACGTCCGCAGCTCAGCGGCGATTGTGTTGCATGTTTTTGCGGCCGGCAGCTTCCATCCCTTTGAGGCTGGGGGGCTGCGGCCGGCCAGGCCAAGGCAGCCGCAGCCAGTGAATCCCGCAGAGGAACCCTTTTGAAAAGGGAGTTCAAGAAGAATAGGCCACACATATATGCCAGGCGCACCCCCCCGCGAACTGCAAGCGGACGGACCTCAGGCAATGCGCCTATGCGCCGGCCACTCTGCACAAATGATTACTTAAGGGACACAAGTGCCCCTTCTGTGCCAGACGTGATAAGAAAAAACCCCAGAACAATGTGTTATCCTTTTTCAGGTTTGTCTCTGCTGGCGCTGGGTACACGGCGATCCAAAACATAGGGTGTTGGACCAATCAGAGATGGAGACTCGGTCCCCTCATGCTTTCTTCAGTAGCAAATCGAGCACACAAGGCTCGGCACAGGCCCCCGTGGTGGCGGACAGCCCAGCTCCCGACCCAGCTGATGCTGTGGTCAGGGCAGGGACCGGACCAACCGGGAGTTTCCATGACCAACAACAGCAACCCCTGCTACGTCGACTCCGTCATACATGCAGTATCTGCTTTGGTTGAGCCCTCACCCTAAGACCCTTTCGGTTTAGGTCCTCTTCCCTTTTCGGTTTAGAGACCTGTTGTTCTCTCCTTCGGGCTGGCCTTGGCGATGCTAGGCCTCTGACCTTGGTTGACCAAAGCCCCGCCTGTGTAAACAACCCGTGCACCTTTTCCCAGCGGCCTGACGTCGCAGGACTGGTCTTCCTCCCAGAGTCAGTTACTGCAGTCTCAGGTGGCTGTAGCACGTGCTAATGGCGACACATCTTCCGGTTTTCGCGTCGCAGGTGACATGGCGAGAACCTCCAGTCGTGCAAGACATCAGGCCAGCGGCCTTGCGTCGCAGCCCTGGTTGCTTTGCAGCCCAGCCCCGACAGCCATCATGCTTGCAAGTTTGGTGCCGTGAACCGCAGTCTTTTAATTTCAAGCCCGTGCCTCGTGTCTGCGGCTGTGGTCCGATTGGCGTCTGCAGCATATCATGGCGAAGCGCAAGTCCAAATCAGGGGACTCTCAGGCGTCCATCGCGCGCTTTTGCAATGAAGGTGCCAGCCCAAACGATGGCATCCAGGATCCGGAGGTGCAGCCTCCGAACGAAGCTTTGGAGCAGTTCCGGGAAGCCAAAGCTTGGGCTGGATGAAAGCCGGTTCGCCCACCGAGCCGATGTATGGCTTGATGCCTATGCCGGACGACTGGAGCGGCGCGCGGAACGAGCTCAAGCGATGCGTCATTGGGCTTGGCGACATCGACTGGGATGAACCGGGCATGGCCGTGTCGGAGGTGACAGTGTCAGACGTGCTTGAAGCACGTCGTTTCTGGTTCCCTAACGGCACCATCGCGCTGATGCCGGACGTGATGGTCATGTACAATGACGAAACAAAGAGGTGGGACGAAATACATATCAATTAAATGAAAGACAGTTTTGTTGTTCAGACTTCTTGTTCGTTCCTGTGCAGGGGGCAGTCGGGGGCCGCTTCGACTGCAGTCGAACTGCGCGAGGTTGATGGCCTTTGTGATGGAGTGGGCAGAGCGTTGCCAGAATTCGGGCTATGCGGCTGAAGCCTGTGCAGCTCATCTGGATAATGTGGCATTTCCAAATTTGATGTCAGTTCCTGATAGCCCAGGCAGTTCTGTGCATTCTGATACAAGCGGCCCCGGACTCATTGGAGACATTCTTTGCTTTGCACAAGCGAGGAGAGGGGGTAATTGCCACATGCAGGGCAGATGCTTGGCAGCTGTAACCCTGACTTGTGTTCTGAAGCGGACGGTCCCATCGTTTCTCCTGTCCCCGGGGTGTTTCCGAGGAGGGAAACCACCTCTGCTTGAGACTAGCGGAACGCGTGTTGCAGCGACTGCCTCAGCTGCATTGTGACCTTGCGCGACACTAGGTGCAGGTGGGAGTTTAGCATGCGTATGCCACAATGTAGCCTAAGGTTGCAAGAGCTGTTGCGCTCCATGAAGCTCGATCACTCCATCGTCGATGTGTACAATGTGTTCAAGCAGAGGGAGAAAGACAACAATCTGAGCTATGCAAGCGGGGACTCGAAAGTGGCTTCTGCAGATCAGCTACGCAAGCTCGCTAACCTCCTGCGGCGTGCTCGCGAGGCGGGGGTCGCAGAGATCTGAAAAACATGCAGATTCACGATGGCAACGAAACATGGGCCGCGAAGTGGAGCACATGTGTGAAGATCAATGCCGCATGTGACAACAAGCACGAATTTGCCTTCATGATTCGTGTGGAGCTTGGCATGCATGCATGGTTCATTTGGAAGAACCCTGGAGCAGTAGGTCGGGTGCACATGCGCGTTCCTTGAGGCTCACTCGCTCGAGGCTTTGTTGAGGAGATGCCCTTTCGCAAGCCCGCGCCGGAGTTGTCACACGAGGCGCTCGTCGACACGGCAAGAGCGTTAGCCTTTGCCGCCAAGCTATCCGAGCACGTGGCTGTTTCAGTGAAGCATCGATCAGATCGTGTTTGGAACGACAAGGTTACCACAGTCTTGAACAGCTGGTTCACGCTGACCGAAGAGGAGAGAAACCATGTGACATTTGGATGTTCGGACTCGCGTGTGAAGGTTCTGAACATCATGGCTGACATTGCCGCTTGGGCACACAAAAGTACAGTGATTGAAGCGCACCCGTGTGGATGCATAGAATAGTTCGTAGTATGCGAGGCACGTGGTGTACACATGCCCACCTTCTACGGCATCATTGCTACGCACGACCAAGCTCCATTCCAAGTGCGTTTGCAAGATCCCCGTGTGCAGAGCATTGTCGCAGACGCTTTGAAGCAGCCACTCCCGTGCATGTACTTTCCGAAAGCTGCTAAAGCCAAATTTCATGGACTGTTTCTGAGGTGGCGTGATGTCTACGAGAAGCCGTTGGCACCTGTGGCCACAGTTGAAACCGTGCCACTTGCAGCAGCTGCGCTGCAGAGCTTGAGCGGAGTAGTGGCCGCGGCGGAGGAGGCTGAGGAGCCGGAGCAGCTGCCAGCCGCGGTTCCTGATGAAAAGGAAATGGAGGAGAAACGTGCTTCAGCCAAGAAGGCTGCAGTTGCGGCAGTGGCGCGTGCAGAAGTGGCCCGGTACCTTCGCTTCATCGTCGCTGATCCGTCCGACCCGTCAGCGCTGAAGAGTGTAGTGGAGCCGCAGCTCCGCTGCAGTCCAAGTGTCAGCCTTTGTGACTTCGTTCTGTCGCGTAAGGCGTTCAAGTTCTGGTTGATTGAGGTCGCTTGCGGCACTGAAGCCAACAGCCGAGACCCAAGATCAATTGTTTCGCCTGTGGGTGCTTGACCCTTCGGTTTGCGCAGAACAGTCCGCGTCGTTCACTCGAAGCCACAACGTTTTTGCGCGACCACCTCCACTTCGCAAAGATGTGCTGAGTCTTGGCAGCGACGAAGAAAGGGCACAAGCAATTCACACCGCATCAACTTTGATGTGACGCACTTCTGTCAGGAGTGCAACTACGAAGTGTTTCTCTTCGCTGGCCACTCCCAAAATCGATGCTTTCGTGACCTGGGATGCTGGGGCCCAGAAAGCTGCAGCCGAGGTCAAGAAAACCATGAACAAGATGAGCGGGCAGCGCGACACGATCGCAATTTGGAGTTTGTTCCCAAAGCAGAGCGACCTTGAGAAGCGCGCTTGCTTCGCGTAGCTGACATGCAGTTGCATGGTGTGGCCATGGGTTCATGTCTGCATTGCGCAGTGGCATGTTTCATTTTTCCGCGTGTGACTGCCATGCGAGCTGAGGCAGGACATGACCGGCAACAAGCGGCGGAAGGCTTGCAGCTTGAGCTCCATCGTGGGGCGAGAGGACATGTACTTGTATGTCAAGGGCGACGCCCTGGTTGCTCGTGATTTCCGCTTCTTGGTCACAGACGGCGTAACGATCAACAGCGCCATGCCGTTTTTCTTTGCACCGTTGCCCGACCCTTCCTCGCAGTTGAAACCACTTGTCACGAGAGCGGACAAGCAGAAGATCCTTATGGACCTGTCGGATAAGAAGAATGTCGCCACGGACACCCCCATGACAGAGTTCCTCCCCGAGATTGGTGAGGAGGCCAGGATGCACGTGTGGACTAGTGCTTTAAACTTGTTGCTTGAGTGTTTGGGAGGAGATGCTGCCGCTGCATTTCTTCATGAAGAGCTCGACGCTGTGTCGTGAAGTGTTGCGCATCATGCGTGCCAGCACCGCAGTACTTCTGTCGCCTGACCCGAATATGATCAGGGCATTGCTTGACTCGCGGATCACAGGTTTGGTGGTGTGCCGAAACAACACACACATGAAAGTGTTGGAGGAGTGGTTGCTCGCGGAAGTGGCAGCTTGCGTGCTGGACCCACATGACCAGCGTTATCACAACGCCGATCTCGTCCGCAAATTTCAAGCTCCGAATCCGTGTGTTCAGGCGGTAACCACAGCAACGGAAGCCGCCTTGCCCGCACTGACGGGCAAGGAGGTGGAGGGGGCAGACACGCAAGAAGTTGATGGCCCTGCCAACGAGGATGCATCTTCTTCATCCTCGTCAAGCGAGGCGGAGGAGGAGGCATAGGCAAAAAGCCTGACGGGCGATCGGGCACACCATGTCGAAAGTTTTGATTCGGAAGGCACCGTGCCGTCAGTACAAAAGAAATAAGCCTGACGGGCGACTGTGCACACCACGTCCAAAGTTTTGATTCGGAAGGCGCCGTGCCGTGAGTAAAAATTTCGATGGAGCAACACCTGCGTGCACAGATATGGTGACAGACTGTGCCTGATCGAAGCGTGCATTTCCGCATGTGCGCTCAGTGCTCTGAGGGATTGTAAGACTTGTGCCCACTCGATTCTTTGAAGCATCCGCCTGACTTTGTCATGTCGTCTTCAATGTCCCTGAGCGGATACACAGTGATGAGCCCCACAGCTTGGCGCAAAACCATGAGCTACGGATTGGGGATGTCCACGACCTGCCACGTCAAGCTGCGCGAGGCCATCTACCAAGCTTGCCGCATCAGCAGCCGGACGCTCGATGCAACCATTTCTGATGGGAAGGTGCCCGGCAAAAAGCGTGATCGAATGCCCAGCCAGTCGTGACAGCACTTGTGAAGACGAAGTTCATCGTCGTGTGCGTTGAGGTCAAGAATGTGCAAAGCGCACACGAGAGTGGAGCCTTTCGGTCATCGTCATCTGAGAGCTTCTTCATCCAACTTCGTAGCGAGCATGTGCAAGTGTGCGTCTACGAAGCCTCCCTGTCTGCCCACGACACAGCTGCCAACGCAAGTGCCGGAGTCAACGTGTTGGACGTTTTACTCGGCTGCAGACGAGACGATTCGGGACTCTTGCACACGTGTGATTAAGAAGAACATGGCCGTGCAGGCACGTGTTGAAGCGCAGTTTGCGTCGCATCAGCCCGGAGACTAACCCACCCACTTAATTCTTGTCAGGTGAAGCGTAAAGATCTGGAAAAGTGGGGCACGGCGTCCATAACGGACGTGACTACTGCGGCCGTGCTGGGCCTCGCGGCGGCAGCAGGGCGACAGTCTTCCGTGAGCTTGCTGGTCCATCATGTCGCGGGCACGGAGCCGCCACCCAATCTGATGTTTTTCGACGTTGTCCAGTCCCCTCTTACAGCGACCTGTGTGCAATTAGGTGTCAGTGAGTGTGAGTGTCGCATTTCCGTATGCTCACGTCCTCGTGCGACGAGTTTGATACTTGAGGCAGTGTGGATGGGGAAACAGGCGCTTGCCGTGACTGGCACCGTTGCTGCAGAGATGGTTGTCGTGAAGGGAGGCCCCATGATCAGCTTGGAGGCATCGCTCCGACAGTGGCGTCAGGAAGGTCGCATTGCTGATGCGAAGGCGACAGCGGCTCAGGTGGAGCAGCTGAAGAAAGAGTTGGCGGAAGCTGAGAATCTCTTGGCAATGCAAAAATCTGACCTGGGTGATCTGCTTTCCGAGTCCGGCGGGCATCGGGACATGGCTGCGTTCGAAGGTGCCGGTGACGAAGGTCAGGAGACAGATGATTCTGAGTCGCAGGACAGCAGTCGCCGCCGTACTGCTTGAAATTTCTCGCAGGCTTGGCCATCATGTTTGGCCGCAGGTTTTGACTTGATCAGGCTCGTGCCACAGAGAGTTTGATGAAGATCTGTGTGATGGAGTCTTGAAGGCTCCTCAAAAAGCCCAACAGTTCTTTCTGTGTCCTTCCTTCACTGAGCACAAACCGTTTTCTCCTAAGTGATTTTCTTCAGACGGCTGCGTCCGGATGTCTGGCTGCAGGAAGCGGCATGCGTGAAGCGGTATGTGACAGCGCCAACACGCGTGATGCAAGGGAAGTGCGTTGCCGGTAATTTTCGCTATGTTACGTCACGTGGCTTCCTTCCGAAATCGTTGTGACACTGAGGCTTAAGTGCGCTGGCCCTGTGGCAAAGAATGCGGAGACCCAGGAAAAGACGGAGGAGAGTGACACCAAGAAGGAAAAGACTACTCCTCTGGCACACTACATGCAACGTTTGCAGGAAGCTTTCCCTGAGCACACGTGGGCCATGGCGCAAAGCAAGACGGCGGCTCCTTTGCCACAGAAGCGTCCGTGGGTGTGGTTGCTTGGCTGCCACAAGGACACAGGATTCAGCCCGACTGAGTGGGCATCAGCGGCATCAGCTTTGGAGCAAGACCCCTTCTGCTACGACGCACACGCCGATGCCGAGTACCACAGCAAGTTCGCAGCTTTGTTGCAGAAGTGCTTTGACAACGGCGTCTGGGAGAAGTCGCTTACCGTGCCGCCCCGTCATGAACGTGCATCGGCCAAATGGAAGTTCAACAGCCCTTGGCAGGCAGCGAATGCTGACGTTTGCGCCTTGGTCGCAGCGGGTCGCACAGGTCCGTGTGGAGCCATCGTGGATTTAAGCCAGTCGGCGTTCATGGCGAAATGCAGCAAGAACGGCATTTGGAAAACACTTACCACATCAAGTGCTTTGTTTGACTTCGACCGTGGCCAGTTCTTGCCAGTGAAAGCTTACTGGAGGATGATGGGCTGGTCTTCGGAGACAGACATCAGCTGCTTGTCCCAAAGTGAAGCTATGCAGATCAGCGGAAACGGCATGGCGGTGACCACCACGTGCCGAATTCTGTTTCCACTGTTGAAGCATCTGGGGTACTTCTTAGTCTCTTCTAGTTACGGCGTGTGCTCAGCTGCTGCTCGTGAGAAAAGCAGCATGACCAGTGCAGACTTGTTCAGTTTGGAGTCTATCACTCCAAAAACTTCGCGGGTAGAACTCATGCTGAGCTCTGGGTGTAGCATGCTTCTGCTTCGTTACTTTCGTCAGCTGCATCGGCGTCACCGGCCTGCCATAGTTTTGCCTTAAGCTGCATTAGCACGTACAGTAGCGGCTGTAGCGTTGGTGCTTTCAGATGGCCGCCTCGCCAGAGATAGTGTGGGTTGGCAACACCATGAGCTGCGCGAAAATCTTATACCCGCAGAGCATCGTGCACACCCTGGCGTCGGATTCAGAAGAGGCCCGCATGCTGGGAAGAGTGCGCTTTAACGAGTATGATGATCCCCAAAACAAGGCACTCTAGACCCTAAACCCTCCATCACTGAGTGTGGCGGTTGATGCAGCATGGGGAAGTGGGGTTGGAGCTCGCTGGCCGACAGGTTTAGGACTTTCGGGTCTTTCGGTTTAGGGTAGGGTTTTTAGGATAGTTTAGTTTCGGGTTTCATATAAAAAACACCACCTCAGAAGGTGGAGTGAACAAGGGAAATCCGACTGTTTAATCAGTCGGTCAAAGCATCGTGAGATGGCCTCAGAGTGTTGGTGCATTTTTAGGGTTTAGGTGGTTTTAGGATTTTTTGCTCCCTAAGCCCCTAACAGAAAGACTGGCTCAAACATCGCGCGAGGAAAAAACCCTATCCCAGAAATAGGGTTGATTAGGTTCTTTTTTTACCCCAAAAACCCTAACAGAAAGAAGCGATAGAGAGATTTCGGCTCAAAAAAAACATAAAATCAAAAATACAACATACAATGTAGTAACATTTCTGTTTTTTCAAACCATTAAATAATTAAAAAACCATAACATTTCTAATAGCAAACCATATTAAAATAATAGACGAAAAAATAAAAACGATAATAACCGACATAAAAAATCTAGGTCACTAAATTTATCCCTTGTCCGAGGTTTCACGTTACAACCCAAATCGCTGCTTCCAAAAGACGACAGCACCTCCCAACAACGACATTACCGCAATCCACAGGTTTAGTTGCTTCAAAAAGACGACAGCACCTCCCAATACGACTTTACCCCAATCCTGGCTGACAGGTTTGGTTGCTTAAAAGATAGCGCGCCAGCACCTCCCAACAACAACATTACCCCAATCCTGGCTGACAGGTCTGGTTGCGTTGCTCCGGGGGTTGGGGTGTGGGCGAAGTTAGTTTCGCATGAAGGTTTGACCCCTTTCGTGCTCTGTTGCTTTGGGGGATGGGGTGTTGGCGACCTTGGTTTCGTATGAAGGCTTGACCCTTTTCGTGCTGCGTTGCTCTGGGGTTGGGGTGTTGGCGAAGTTGGTTTCGCATGAAGGTTTGACCTTTTTCGTGCTGCGTTGCTGCGGCGGGGCTTGAGGCGTTGACGAATTTGGTTTCGCATGAAGGTTTGACCCCTTTCGTGCTGCGTTGCTCCGGGGGTTTGGGGTGTTGGCGCAGTTGGTTTCGCATGAAAGTTTGGCTCTTTTCGTGCTGTGTTATTCGCATAAGTGCACAAGGGGGGGGGGCAGGGCGGCGATTAAATGGTTGAAGTTGTTCTTTTGGAAGCAGCTCATCTCCAGCATTATGCTTTAGTATGTGAAGAAGTATCGGGGACGTCGTGTAACCATTTACAGCGATCACGCCGTAAATTGGGCTTGTATCTCCTTGAAATAAGCAAAAAGTTTAAGCTTTTTTGGCTTGGTAAACTGGACTATGAAGCTAGAGCATCCATGCCCAAACCTTCATGACGTCCATGGTCTAGTGCGTTTTGAGAACAGAGCATCCGTGCCCAAAAAACGTCATGACGTCCATGGCCTAGTCCGTCTTGTGAACAGAGCATCCATGTTCGCAACCTAATGACGTCCATGGTCTAGTGCGTTTGAGAACAGAGCATCCATGCCCACAACTTAATAACTTGCATGCTCTACTGCGTTTTGCGAACAGGGCAGTGTCCGGGCCAACCACAGCAACAATTTTCTACTACTGCTACTATTACTAATACAAGCACTCGTACTGTGACAGTCCTCGGGGATGTTTGCATGGGGACAAACAGCCATGTAGGTCAGAGACGCGTTGTCATTCTGCACCGAATTCCGTGCCGCTCGCTCCTTCCAGCTCTGGGGTGAAGAGCTTAAGGGTTAGCCCGCATGTGTTTTCGCATGCGATGACATTTGTGTAAGACAGAGGCTACGCAAAAAAGATTCGCGAACAGAGCCGCGTGCGCTTCTCTGAAATTTGCGTCCGGCGTTTT